TCGCAGTCTTAGTGTCACCAACTCGTTTTTAATATGCAAAAAGACAAACAAATGCGTCTATGGTGTATTTTCGATTTTTCCAATCCAGACTAGATCTCTCTCCCCGTCTGTGTACGAGGGGGCGGGGCAGTTTACACACACTCAGCTGCTACACTGCGGGGATGGCGGAGAGAAGCGCTCCAAGGTGTGGTTAAACTTTACCCGTCTCGATGTGGACAATGCTCGTTACCAAAAGTGCAATAAGAGTTTAGCATGTAAGGGCGGTAACTCGAGCAATTTGTCTAAACATTTAGCAAAAGTGCACCACATTCAGACGGAGGAATGCATCGGGTTCCACTGTCTTTCTAGCAGCTCTGTAGCCCCATCCACGAATAACGTTTCCACCTCAGGTGTTATGTATGCTAGCAGCAACACACGGAGTTAACTCAATTATACAAACATGGGTTAATGATTAGAGTTATTTATTTTGTTAAAGTTTCAGCTATTCTGTTTACAATTATGTTATCACATTATTTAATACAATTTTTTAAAACATTGTTGTTTCTTTTGATGTGAAATATTATTTATTTAATTTAAATAAAAAGCAATGTTAATTTTGTTCAAATTTGTGTTAAGTTAATTTAATAATATATGTATTTTTGAATCAAGTATTCATCTTTATTGTCTTCATTGTTAGTTTCCACATGCCTAAAACAACCTCAAGCTAAATCTAAAAGTTGATGGCTAAATACTGTAAGAGCGTTTGAGAAATTGTGCAAGGCATAATAGTCCAAATAGTCGATTAATCGTTTCATTAATCGATAGATGAATCGATTATCAAATTAATTGTTTGTTGCTGCCCTACTCACAATGACAATGTCAGAATGTTAATGTTTGGCAGTGAAGTATTTAAAAATATTCACCATCTTTGCATGTTAGCATGCTGCAATTTGCTCAATACCAAATTAGGAAATAAGTTTCGCTAAGAGCAATGTCGACTTGTAAAGAGGTACGTGTAGATTCTGCAATAACATCAGATCTGAAGAGTATTTATTTATTGAAAGAAGAGCAAAGAATGCAGGTATTCTTGATGGAACATGTGTTTTTGCTCTTCTCCCGGCTGGCTTCAGCAAGAGTTCAACTAATTCACCCAATTACCTGCTAAGTATTTTCTGAAAGTGCTCTTTCCCAAACAGTTTTGATGGTTCTGGGCCATCAGACGTTTTCATGGAAAGCTAGGGGATCACCTAAGTTAATTACGTTTATCTTGAGGGTAACATCAAATGTCGTCATAATCCACCAAATACTTAGAATTTGGTTTAAAGATTACCTCAAAAACATCATGAGGATGCTTGAGATATCTTCAGGGCACCTCCGAAGTCATTGAAACATCTCTGAGTTTAGATAAATCCAACACGTTATTACAAATCTGAAATCAGTCAACATTCTGCTTTGGTCTAAGTGGATCAAAATAATCTCAACACTTGGTTTCAAGGAGACACAATGCAGCTATTTAGAACTAATTACTTCCCTTTGCTTTGATGAACGTCTTTTCGTGCGAATTTCATTTGTGCGGAGCTCAAACTAATTGCTGCACAGTATTACTCAACCCCCACGCAGACAGCGGAGACTGCATGGCGGCGTCAGATTATAAACACCCACAGTGGTGTCGTCCATTTCCGTCTGTGTTCTCCACTGTGGTCTGAGGGAGGATTGGGATGGAGATGGGGAGGGGTGTTGTCAGACCGTAACGGGTGACCGTGACACCAGTTTCCTTTCCCTCTCTTCCTGCGCCCCCTCTCTTCTGCTCCCTGGTAACCAGACGACAATAGACCCAGCAGCCAGGTTGAGTCTTTACAGGCAACCGCGTCTCTAGCACTGCCAAGACAATGAGCACGTGGCCCTGCAGGGGCGCACACGCTCCATCCGGCCGACCGGGGGCATTGTTCGCCCTGAGTCAGAGTCCTCCCATACGACCCAGCAGCACCACTAACCATTGTTGACCAACAGAAAACGGGGGTCAACAGTTTATGATGTTAAAAGCTGATTGTTGTGAAATTACGCAGGGATGGAAGGAAATCAGTTGTTGGTCCACTCATCGTTTTTTATTGCAAAACTGGCGTCGGATACAGTTTATTTTTTGCACCAAGCATCTGCAGGCTTTATCATGGAATATGCTTCCAGTTGAGTATAAAACGTGCACAGATTTATACTCTTTTTCCCATATGACAACACATGTATATTGGGCAACCAATCTTGCCAACATGGATTTGAGATGTTAGTTTAAATGAATGGTAAAGTTATATTGACAAATGTAATAGTATTTATATTTGATGCATCTGTATTTTGATCTGGTTTTAATTGTTAGTGTGCCCAAAAAAATGTGTTAGTGTACTGCAGATGGAAATGATCTTTTAGCTATAATCTGGCATATACAGCACATCTTCTCTCTTTGAGATTAATGTAGTTGTATGGTCCTTGTTAAATAAAGAGTAATAATAATCCTCATTCCCAGTATTTATATGACGTGATGTTGGAAGAGCCTGTTTCTTTTTGGGAACCCGAAAGGACGTAATTGAGCCCATGATTAAAACCCAGGGTGTCTCCGCTTTCAGTGTCCAAGGGCACAGGTGTGTCCGGGGCCACGGGGACCACACACCCTGCTGACCGCCAGCCCGGTCGCTGTGACCTCAGAGCGGTGCAGCTGCACCCCCGCCCCTCACTATCATTACCCTCGCCACACTCCCAATGCCGATGCTGGCGATGGCCTTGCACAAACACTGCCATCTGAATCCAGTTAGGGGAGCTTAGCGCTTTGCGGCTTCGCGTGCGAGCGAGCCCCCGAGCCCAGCGCGAGCCAGTAGGAAACTTTAACTCACATGTGGTCACTTCAGCTTTGAAGCACCGTCGTCTTCCGAGGGGAAAAAATGACAAAATGATTGAAACAGATGTAGCGGTGGGTCTGTAGCTGCAGCAGTGGACATTAAATTATAGAGTTGTGATTCCTTTTGACTGAAGGGGCGGTGAGGAGATCAGACGGGCTGCAGTAGTGATTATGGTGCCTAATTGTAATTAAAAAGTTGAACCTCTGTCCTCTGCTATTATCAGAGGAAGGTCAATGTTAAACCTGCTTTAATGTTACCCGTTTCTTATTAGTTGATCAGCAATTTATAGGAAATGTTTCTTTTTTATTGTTGCTAAACTGAAAACTTGCCGTTGCAATCCACTGTGTGTTGACACTGTAAACAGCGACGCAGGGCAGAGACGCAACATTGGATCACTCTGGGCTTTGTCAGATTGCACAGCTAAGGTGTTGCAATACGAGATCAAGCTGGGCAAACCCATTTCTCCCTCTATTCTGCTTCAGTCAAGGTCAGCGTGTGCTGCAAGAACTGAAACTATTAAAGACTTCTCCCAGAGGAATGTCATTTATAATCTTCCGGCACAGTACGTCAGAATGGCTGTGACTTGTTATCCGGGGACTTTTCAGTGATGAGATCAGGTATGTTAGTTGCTCTTCGCCTGAAGCCACAATAGGAAGCAGGATGTCTACCAGTAAATGAGCTCAGTGAATTACTCTATCAAGTAAAAGGGAAGTAGGTGGGGACACATGCTCGGGCCTGTGTCTGAGGGAGGAGCCACCGACCTCTGTAGGCCAGTCAGACAACTCAGCTTTACTTCTATATGTTTCCTGCTTGACTCCACTTCAGTTAACAGAGAAAAGAGAGAAGAAGCAGGCAGAGTCTCAGACTGAACACAGTTAATGCTCGTGAAACTTTACTGGATTTCTTTCGGGTCGTGTGTGGTTTTACGCAAAGTGACAATGGGACTATGTTGTTCTGAAAAGCAGAAGCAGAACTTTGGGATGCTTACAAGTTGGAAAAAGGTGAGTTTTACTTTTGGAGTTGCTTACATTGTGCTGTGGGAGTTTGATCTGCCAAATGGATAGAGAACAAGTTATTTGATGTTAGGTGATATCTTACAAATACATGATTGGAAATGGTTTTATTGGCTTTTTTTACTCAATAGATTGAGATTCCCCTGTCTTGTTTTCGCTCTTTTAATTTTGATATTCAGGCCCGTAAGACAATACTAAAGTTCTGTGCTTTAAAAAAACTTTTTTAAACCTTCTTTTTAATAATTCAAATGAGATTCTGGTGTTTTGGATGACCCTTAAATGCATAACTTATATTGCTTTGTTTGCAAGAAAATGACCAATTCTGAATATTCAATCTCTCTGAGGCATCCGCTCATCTTCTCAGAACTAACCACAAGGTTTTTTTCTGAGTTTACATAACTTCTCTAGATTGCCCAAGACCAGGGTTTGTTCTGAGTGTGAGCACTTTTTGCTAACGTCAAAGGATGCATGAGTTATTTCGCCATACATTGAGAAATCCATTGTCCTGTACACACTCATGCACATGTCACCATGCCGTGAGTGTATGCAGCGCGTATAAGATGAACTTTATGACATGGCTGACTAAAACGCGTCTCTGAGCCTGATTCATTTCCTAGAGGTCACACACATCCACTCTGTTCTGCCACTTTAAAGAATCAATTACAAGTTCCCTTTGAATGGAATAAAGCCTTCTAAGTCCAAGCTCACATTTTTGTTCTTACGAGCTCTCTTTGATTTCTTTTTTTTTTATGGCCCGCCTCCGGCAGTCTGGGTTTTGAGTTTTCAGCCAAGTCTTTGAAAGTGGTTTTCAAGTTTCACAGTCAAGTAGATGTTAGCTGTCTGCTTGACAGCTTTTAGACAGCTGTTGAGGCCAGAATAAAAAGGACCCCATTGTAAGGAGAAGAAAAAGAAACCTGGAAAACACATAATCATGGCTGGGTTCTTTGAAGACGTAATAAAAAAAAGCAAATTACTGTCACATTTGCAGGAATTGATTGCACCATTATCCCATGGTATTCATTATAAAGATTAGGATGTGGTTTCGCATTAGTGTTTCACTTTTCTTGACAAAAAAGCAATTTTGCCTCAGAATCTGCCACATTCTGTGATGGTGTGCTATTACAATGTCTAGCCTAGTTGTGTCAATCTAGTGCATCTCTTCTGTGTGTGATACGATGAGTCTAGATCGGGGACCACCTATGAACAATAGAGGGGACCACGTGACTCTGTTGCCATGGCGTTCAGGTTGACGTGCGATTGGTGGTACACCGGTGGGCGGCAGACTGAAAACTCTCATCTGTTTGTCTCCCAGCATCTCCGTTTGTGTCTTTTTTTAATACAGAAAAAAGCTGCAGCAAGACAGGAAATGAGCTGTTATTTGTGGGATCAATTGTAGGTGTAATTGAGAACAAGAACTGGTCTTTGGCACGTCCTGTAATGATTATGGACGGAAGTGTGTACAACAGATTAAAACCCAGACTGAAAGCCAATCTGGTAAATTAATACCCCACGTCCCCTCAGCCATGCGATAAACGCGCCGGTGCTTTGAAGCCTTGCATTGCGCAGTATGCGTTGGATCTGTTCTGCATTACTGAGCAGGGGGGGGGAGTCGATCAAGAAGGGAGGGAAACCGAGGCAAAAGGGGGGGGTGAAAAGACACAGAGGGAGGGGGTTTGCAGAGAGCACAGGAGAAAGATGAGGGGGGATCCTCCAAACACTGTTTTGTGCCGTGCTGTGCACCCCCCCTCCTCCTCCTCTCTGCCTTTTTTATGTCCCTCCTTTCCTTTCTCCATCCGTCTTAGAGCATGCCCTTCCTCCCATCCTTGCTTAATCTGGGCTAGGAAAGGCTGGATTTCCCCCTCGCATATCGCTGGATTTCCCCCTCGCATATCACTGGATAACATTTGGAGGGTGCAGGGGTTTGGAGACGTAGTGAGAACTGAAAAGAAAAGGAATTAATAATTGCATCTGTGGGGATTCCATCACTCTCGCCAGAGGCTTTTATGCAATCCTGGAAAACAGAGCGCGACGCAATGAGGAGACTCATTCGGCCAGGGATGTAGGGTTCCTTTACAGCCCCATTTCTGGAGACTTCAGCCGGGTTTTTTTTACCATAGTTTAACTGTTTTGGAAGGCGGGGGATTTTGGGGGAGCTTTGGGCTTCGGGTTGTAGCTCAGCCTTGGGGGTCCACTCAGAGAGGAGCGTACAGGGCTTCTGCTGGGGAGCGCCAGGGGCTCAGCACAGCGCAGCATCATGCCTGAGGCCAACTACCTGTTCTCCGTGTCCTGGGGATACATCAAGGTGTGTCCCAGAGGAGAGACAGCATAGATGCCCTGTGTGTGTGGGAGTGCATGCACATACTGTGTCAGATTTCTCACGTTTGTTATGTCTTGATTGAATCTCAGCCTTGACTTGTACAGAAAAACACTGCCGCATTTTGTTTCCATGGAAAAACTAAGCATAGACATTATGTTTTTTGTATATCTTGCACTGTACTTTGTTTGTTTTTGCTAGGCAATCAAGTGTCTTAGAGGCTAACTCAAACCAGTACCAACAAAACATAAACACAGACCTGAAATGGCGCAGTAGCCACGTTCTCATGGGACATATCCCAGTGGAAAACAACAGGAAATGCTTTAATTCCTATGCTCGGAAACCTCAGTGAAAATAAAAATATGTATTTTCTTGTACAGGTCATTAAACATCATGTGTTTTTGTTTTTTCTCCAGTTCAAGAGGATGCTGAACCGGGAGCTAAGCCACCTGTCTGAGATGAGTCGCTCGGGCAACCAAGTGTCTGAGTACATCTCCAACACCTTCCTAGGTGAGCACACTATTCACACAGCAGTAGGAAGTACAGTGTCAGACCTAAAGGATGCCTCAGTGACACATATGTGGCAGAGGTTACCCTATGCATGTGCTAAGAAGCTCGCAAACCAGTCTGATCTGGTCTGAGAGTCCCCTTCGCTCTGACTGCAGAGAAATAAGGGGGGGAGACTTCCCTGAGCGGGGGAGAGGGAGAATGTTTGTGTGCACGGAAAGTCACTGCATTATTAATCAGCAGTGTTTCCTTCTATCTTAAAAAGCCCGACGGCGTGTCATGACTCATGGCGAGCCAGTTTGTTCTTCTGGTTTTCCTCCTTCCACATCCAACACTGCCTGCTAGATGCTTATCAAGGCTGTGTGTTCACAGATTGAAAGGAGTGTGTACTGTGCCCCCCCCCTAACAAGAGAAGTAGTGCAGGGGAAGAGATTTCCGAAAACAGCGCAGAGAGATCCTTTTGAAGCCTGGTGGTTTTGTTGTTGTCTGTGTTGCAGCGAACACCTGTCAGGTGCACTGAGATCATTGTGCAGAGAGTGCAGCCGACATATTTTCCTCGCAGAGCGGTGTGCGTTGTGCACACATGAGAGTCCTCCACACACTGTCAGCTGCAGAGGGCATGTGAGAGTCTTAGCAAGCAGACACGCTGGATCACATGCACCAAACAAACCCGCACACTTACAAAAACAAGAGATAAACATTTAGCTTTCCACTATTCTGCGGATTGTTATTGCAACAGGGCTCAGGTCCTTAGAATGCACGGGCCACTGGAGCATGGGCAGAAACATTTCATCAGCACTTCTTGAACTTTTCTTATTATTTTCTTCAAACTGGATATATTTTCCGATGTTCTCTGTTTTACATCATAATAAAGTGAATGTTTTTGGGTTTGGACTGACAAAACAAGACGTTCAGAGACATTATCTTGGACTTTGAGAAACAAAGATGAGCATTAGTCACTGTTTTCTCAATTTTTGTTAACAGAGTAAGCTGTAACTGAAGGATGGCTTGCTAATTGAACAAATGCAGCCTCAATGTGTTGTCACGTAGGTGTGAAAAGTCAACTATCTCCCTGTGTTAACTTAAGTTACTCCTTCCAACTCTGGTGCTTATTCAACATCACCTAGCCTAGTCCATTTTACTCTTTGGAGTGATTCAAAGTTAAATATTTTTTCTTGTTTTCTCTCCAGACAAGCAGAATGAGTTGGAGGTTCCATGCCCGGCTCCCAAGTCGAGGGAGAGGAAGAGGAGGCAGGGCCAGCAGCAGCAGCAGCAGCAGCAGCAGCAGCAGGGTGGGATGATGACTCAGATCAGCGGGGTGAGGAAGGTCAGCAACACGCCCAGCATCTCCGGGGGCACCGGGAACCGCTTCGGGGTCAAGACGGACCAGGAGGAACTGCTGTCCAAGGTAAGCCATGGACCGATCAAACAGCACAAGTATAAAAGGTGTGTGATCGACTGAGACACTTACAGTCGTCTTCTCTCACAGGATCTGGAGGACATCAACAAATGGGGCCTGAACATCTTCAAAGTGACTGAGCACTCCCACAACCGGCCGCTCACATGCGTCATGTACACCATCTTCCAGGTCAGTGCCTCCTCCTCCTCAGCAAGCCTTCTTGGAGCTATAGAAGGATTCATAGCCAACTGTAGTGTCTTCAGTATGTTACGTTCAGCTATCAGTGTCAACACAGGGACATCTGCTAGAGGGACATTAGCGCTTGGAATTGATTTCTAGCTGTGCATCATCCTGGCAGGAAGCGTACGTTTTCAGCTTCTAGTATACCATTCAGAATATTTAGAAGAATTTACGGTCAGATCAAAAGTCTGAATACATTGACTCTAATGCATCAAAATGTGAAACATGAAAAAACGCAAAGAAAGAAACCTCAATGGAACGTCCTTCTTCCTTTTGACATGCAGGAGCGAGACCTGATGAGGACGTTCAAAATTCCGACGGACACCTTTGTGACGTTCATGCTGACCTTGGAGGGCCACTATCACTCGGACGTGGCCTACCACAACAGCCTGCACGCCGCTGACGTAGCCCAGTCCACACACATCCTGCTGTCCACCCCCGCACTGGATGTAAGTCATTTCTCTCTATGCAAAGTCACTATTTATGGCCCTCAGAGGTACACAAAAACCTACCAGCCTCCGCAGTTTAAGCACCAGGAAGACTAAATTTAGCATGGAGGTTAATTGTAGTGAAGTATATTGTTGTTTGTTTAGAAAAAAAGCGTTTGTTAATAGTTGGTAGTTCTGAGGAATAGCAATCGGACAGCGGCCCCAACAATAATATCACTTGGAAACGCTAAGGTGGAGGAAGTAGTCTGTTTCCAGTCAAATTAGGTTTCGGCTACTTATTAAATTGACGTGTGACACCAATCAAGTCTGGCCACACCTTTTTTCTCAGGCTGTTTATTATGCTGAGATGGAGTAACTGGCATTACCGTCACCAAAACAATAACTGCATGCCAAAGATGACACATGAAAGGCTCGGCCTCCAACACTTGTTTAATACCTTACCTTGTATGGGCAGCGAAATGACTGTGAAGCTCAACCTCTCTTTTATTCTTCTTCCTTCTCTTCAAACAGGCGGTCTTCACAGATCTGGAGATCTTGGCAGCCATTTTTGCTGCAGCCATTCACGACGTGGACCACCCAGGAGTGTCCAACCAGTTCCTCATCAACACCAGTATGTCCTTTAAAAAAAGTCATTTTATTTAGTCTACCTTTACCAAAGAAGCAAACTATTTGCACGGTTTAACGGGATCTTCAAAGGCAACATTGTGGGTCTTTAGGGACACGGCATGGCTTATTTAGTCACCTGACCTGGGTTTAAAAAAGCAAGAGCTCCATTTAACCCTTTTCTCTTTCTCCATTCTTCTTTTTCTCTTTAGACTCCGAGCTGGCTCTGATGTACAACGATGAGTCGGTGCTGGAGAACCACCACCTAGCCGTGGGCTTCAAACTGCTGCAGGAGGAAAACTGCGATATCTTCCAAAACCTGACCAAGAAGCAAAAGCAGTCGCTCCGGAGGATGGTCATAGACATGGTGAGGAGACGAGGCCAATAGAGCCTTCAGAGTGATGACAGCTTAATTGCTTGCCTCGAAAACTATTTCTAACATCATTGTCTGTGTCTTCCTTTCATTCAGGTATTAGCAACTGACATGTCCAAACACATGAGCCTGCTCGCTAATCTGAAGACGATGGTGGAGACCAAGAAGGTGACCAGCTCTGGAGTCCTGCTGTTGGACAACTACACTGACAGAATGCAGGTAAAAGTCAATCATGTACAAATAAATGTAGGTCACGTCAATATATGCAAAAGTGAATAACTTAAACATGGTCAAGGTCACGATCATATATCGTACATAAGTCAATAACCCAAAAATAATCGAGGTCAAGTCCAAATACGGTAGAAAAAGTTGATCAGCTCATGTCAAATGATCATGAAAAAAGCTAATAACGTGAAAAAGATTAAGATAATTTCCAAATATCGTATGAAAACGAATAACATAAATATGATTGACATCATGTCCAAATATCACGAAAAGTTGGTAACTTCAAAATCCAGGTTATGTCCATAAAAGGTCAAAAAGAGTCTAAAAAGCCATTACAGTGACAGGTATAGCCTCATGATACAGACAGTTTGGTACAGACGAAAGAAATGCAAGAGGTTTATTTAATTATTTGTTTCCCTTTTCAGGTGTTGCGTAACATGGTGCACTGTGCCGACCTGAGCAACCCCACCAAGCCTCTGGACCTGTACCGGCAGTGGACGGACAGGATCATGGACGAGTTCTTCCACCAGGGAGACCGAGAGAGGGAGAGGGGGATGGAGATCAGTCCCATGTGTGACAAACACACTGCTTCAGTGGAGAGAACACAGGTAAGAACACACACACCTAGCTAGAAAAATTGGAAAAAATCATAGTTGATTCCTCAACACAAGATATCGTGTTTTTGACTTGGTTTGACCGTCCGTCAGTAAAATTACGGGAAAAAAGACTGGCTTCATTTTTATGAAACTTGGAGGAAAAGTGTAGCCAAGAAAGAATCCTTTACATTTCGGAAGGGATCTTAATTACGGGCCGCATATCACAAATCATCTTTCACTGTTGCTTAAATTTGCGCAGTTCCGCGTGGTCTCGGAATCTTTGGTAAAACAAATAATGGTTCCTGATTGGAAAGCATGTTGGACAACTGAAAATGATAACACATGTTGTTTGTCACGTCAATGTTATTTCCATATTGCGACTTATAGCTCATGAACACGCCTAAGTTGGACAAACCCCGGAGACCCTCCAAGGAGCATGTGAACCCTCGTACTGACATCATCCCTTGTTATGTTTTCTAGGTGGGTTTCATCGATTACATTGTCCACCCTCTGTGGGAGACGTGGGCCGACCTGGTCCACCCCGACGCTCAGGACATCCTGGACACTCTGGAGGACAACAGGAACTGGTACCAAAGCATGATCCCCCAGAGCCCCTCCCCCCCCTTCTACACCAGCGACGGGGAGGGTGGCCCCCATGGGGAGCTGGAGGAGGGGCCTGGGGCCAGCAAATTTCAGTTTGAGCTGACGCTGGACGATCAGGATGGACAGAGCGGAGAGAGCGCCATGATGGAGATGGTCGACGGGGTCACACTCCAAGACCCTTCCTCCGATCAGGGCAGGGTTGAAACGTGTGACGTCTCCCCAGCGGAAACATAGCCCAACTGATGCTGTTTGCGGAGAGCAGCAAGTTTTGGCTGAAATAATTTAATTGCAGTAGAGCAATCCTGCAATCTGGCTCTTTGGAGCTGCCTGGCACAGAGGGCCTGACTGAATGTGGGGCACCCCTGCAAACAAGGCTGGGAAACCCTGTGGCAGTTTGTTTTTGAGCCCCCTGGAAAGGGAGCTTGAAGAAGTCCTGCTCTTTAACGAAGGGACTTACTGTCAAAGAGGCGGGGCTGAATCGAAGAAGATGAAGTGGACAATATGTATCTGTTTACTGAAACTAGTCAAAATTACAAACTTGCACTTCAGGACGTTTTTTATGTTGATTTCGATTCTTCCGATCGTGTTGGGATTGGATGCGACCTGGTGAAAGCGTCCAACCAGAAACTACAGGAGAGAAGTTCTTCAGATCCAAGTAGTTTTTTTTCTTACACACAAGTTGTGTGCCTTTTTTTAAACAACAGTGTTCTTTTTTTAAGTGTTTTTATAATTTATTGAACACATTCATGTAGCTGTAAAATGTGTCAACTTTTTGTACAAGAAGGACACATTTGTCTCACAGTCTTCCTAATGTTCTGGCAATAGTATAAGCTTGTTCTCACTATAGTATAGTGGATGTATTTCTAAAAATCACACGACTTCCCAGCACAATTTGCACTTTGTGGCATAAGACCAAGAGAGCATTGAAAGCATCAGTATGTTACATTATACTAAACATGTGAAACCAAAATCTTTTGATTCATTCAGCAAGGGCTGCTCGATTATGGCAAAAATCGTAATCACGATTATTTTAGTCAATAATTGATGTCACGATTATTAAAAAGAGATTATCCATTTACTTTGAAAACATTCATTTATTGAAAAATACTTTAAGTATAATTCAACTGAAAAACCAATAAAATCATTTAAAATAATAATCGTTTTATTTCGATTACGTTGTTTTCGTAATCGTTGCAAGTCAAAATCGTAATCGAGATTAAAATACGATGAATTGCACAGCCCTACATTCAGCTATTTCTTTCCTCAAAAAAGTCAATTCACAAGGAATTTAATACGTTTTAAAACATATTCCTTGAAAGTGGAAATACATTTTGTATCTATGAGTCCAAAAATATGTAAAGAATATCTTCCAAAGATCCTGTAGAAAGCACTTTGATGATTTCACTGCTCACAGAAAAAGGAAAGTCAGAACTCAGATACATTTTACAATGTCCTAATCCTATTCCCTATGTTACAAATACAACTTCTGACCAGAAGTCAAATGAATCCCTGACTTTGTCGTGTAGCTGGATGAAGAGTTAATTATTTCCTGAAATTTCACCCGAGATATCTAAGAAAGGTAAAAAATCTTGAATGTGTCTATCGAAAACAAAACAGTCGACTTTAAAATGATTCAGGTCATGTCTATAAATCGTGCAAAAGTTTATAACTTAAAAATGGTCTAGGTCCTGTCCAAATATCGTACGAAAGGTCAATAACGTAAAAATGGTCAAGGTCAAGTCAATATATTGTACAAAACGTACGTTAAAGTAAAAAAATCTCCTCAAATCGTGCTGAACTATCGCCGAATAGGAAATCTGTTTCCACGTGTAACTTCCTCAGTTTCATCTCGTAGTGGGCTTTACATCTGAACAGACTTAAACTTTGAATGACTCTAAGACTGTGCACACTTTTAATAAGGCACCTGTTAGTTATAGACTAATCGTATCCTGTAGTTTTTTTTGATCCAGCACTTTGAATATGTCGACATTTCCGGCAGCTGGTTGCCGATCTGTCCAACACTACCTTAAAGGTGTGTGTGTGTGTGTGTGTGTGTGTGTGTGTGTGTGTGTGTGTGTGTGTGTGTGTGTGTGTGTGTGTGTGTGTGTGTGTGTGTGTGTGTGTGTGTGTGTGTGTGTGTGTGTGTGTGTGTGTGTACGTACGTACGTTACGTAGTTGTGTTTGTGTGTGTGTGTGTGTGTGTGTGTGTGTGTGGCTGTTTGTAACAGTGTTTTTTATCTCTCTCTTGTATATTATATTGATTGTTAATATTCCTGCGTATTTGTTATTATTTATATGCCCTACCATACGTCAATCAAAGTTTGACCTGAACTCATCTGGTGGTTTCTGTTTATTCTATTTAGCATTTTTGCTATAAGACCGTAACATGAAGTTATGCAGCTCAATTTTGAAGATTTGAAATGTTTTTTGAATTTGCTGCCAGAGAAGTTTGTACAGCGTGACCAAGTCGACGAAGTCTGGCTGTTTTATGTTTTGTTTTTTTAAGGATTATGAAGGCTGGATATTCTCTGCAGTGTATTGCGTACGGTGACGGGTCATTGTACAGCTATAGGAATATTTGCTGAAATATATAAGACGTTGTTTTGAAATATATTTTTTCAGTGTTTTTCCTCACAATATATTGTACAACGTTGTATGTTGTGCTCAACAAATGTTTTCTATCAGATTATTAAAATGGGCATGAATTATATAATTTTCTGGTCTGTTTGTTTTTGGATCACATTAGCAAAAGAAGAACAAGTCATTTCCAACATAAATATTTTTAATATTATGAGTTAGGGGTGTAGGAAAATACCAATACACTCCGATATGACTGGTGATACTGTTTTGTTAAAATACGATACATTTTTAAAAAGGCCCTATTAACCTCGTGGAGTTTTCCCGTTCTCTTAGTGTGCTACATAGGTTTTTTTAATGCATGTACATGGTCTGCAAAGGCTCAAATTGCAAAGTTGCCTCCTGAGGGAGTTTCTGTCCCACACAATCACTTTTGTTTAGTGATGTAGACTAATGTTATTTCCTTTGCTATAATTCCATAACAATTATTGCGATTTTTTAGATTCTAAATGCTAAACATATAAATAAAGACAAAATGTAAAAGCAGATCCCACTTTTTTGAGTGCATCAAAAAAAGTGAACCATTTTTTCCCTTATGGCTGTCTCTGTAAAGTAAGATTCAAGAAGACATTACACTGCCTTTTTAGAGTGTCGCAACAAAATAAATCGTGACCCCAGTATAATGATATGAATGGTTTTGACAATTTACAGAAATAAATGTTTCTTTATCCCCGTCACCAAACATTTCATCATCAAGGAGTGATGAAATATTGAATGTTTATAAACTTGTTTACCCAGACAAACAGTCAGATGATTCTCTATAATCACTTGTACACTATTTCAATTAATTGCCAGGCTTATTACAGCCATATGTGTTTTTTTTGTTGACGTCATAGTACCAGTTTTGCAGCTCTGAGGGGAAAACCAGGTAGTGACACATCTTGCCTGTAATTGAACATCACTGACTGCTGGACAGCGATCAGCAGTGTAAACAGGAAGGTGGAGATAGTGATGCTATGTGCAGAGCCCTCAGGGCATTCACTCTCCCATTGCCTGGAGCACCTTGACCCCAAAGGATAAGCATCTCGAGTACGTGATAGGCAGCAGGAGGGCAGGCTGGGTACAATTGGCACAAAGCCAGAGATTGTTAAAGATTTTAGTTTCTGAAATAGGTCAAAGAAACAGAGGAGGGAAGGCTTGATGCAATCTGATCTTCACTGCTCATTATCTGGAAGTGCAACTTGTTGAAAGTTTCCAGTCTTTGCTGTTAGATAGTATTTCTCTTTAACAATGATTTACCCTGATAAATGCTCAGAATACTTAGATTGCAATTCATCAGGTTACCCATGTTGTAAAAGCACAAATTGGCAAACATTTTTGTGATTATTAAAGTCATAAAATGAATTGCAAAAAAAAATCTGAAATCAAACTTAATACGTCAAAAATGGCCGTAGCCAGAACAATTTCACAAATACATGTATTTTGCATACTCAGCATATCAGGTTGATCAAAGGACCCTTTACTTACAAAAACCACCTACACGTTTTCTGTGCGTGGGGACACAACATTGATGCTGTTTCTATTGTGTAACTTTTCGTTTCTGCAGTTTTTTAATCAAAGGCCCCCCCGTTTGTCAGAAATGTTTGACTACATTCGCAAACATGAATAAAAGTGAAAACATTTCAAAATGGCCGTATTTTAAAGACGTTATCAACCTTGACAATGGTAGTCCTTGCAAAGCAGCTATGATATAATTGCACATTTTTCAAATGTAACTGGGCTGATTATAGTCATTTGGCAATATGTCTACGTCACCCCAACCACATGTTATCCGTAACCACCCAACCATCTATATATTTAATAAATCACAGGTGGCATTTTAGATTAAGTTTACTGTGGAGATGTGGATGTTTGGGTGACCACCAGAAACCCGAACCTCCTCTTCCTGTAGATTCAGCGAAAAACGAGTCAAGTGTTTATGGTAAACACGGCATAGACGTGAACTAGGGTTTCCATGGTGGTGGTCCGTACTGCCATGGCAATGGCAGCTGGTTTGTTTAGAACTCTGACACGAGTCTTGTGGTCTGTTGCAAACTGACGTCAGCAGGGTGAGGGCAGACTGCCCGGCCCGCAGCACTGACTGTGAAGAGCCCGCAGGTTCAGGCTCCGGCTGCCAGTCAACCTCCTTTCTCCACTATAGCAGCCAGGCTGTGAGGGGGCCCGGGGCCCCAGGCCAAGGCAGGAGAGGAAGAGAACCACTTCCAGGAAAACAAACTCGCTCACTTTGTAATAACAAATGTCTTCCTCGAGTTTCTCCTGGACAGCTGCTGTTTGTTTTTAATTGAGTTGACAGTGAGGAAAGAAGTTGGAATACAGGGTAATACAGGGCATTCCAACATAATCCAATAGCAAACCAGGCCTGTGTGTGTGAGTGGGTTTGTCTTTATCACATCATGGGGCGTACGGCATGTTAGTAAGGTCTCGGAAAGCATGGTCCCCGTTATAGATGTGTTTGTCTGGTACCCACACTGTACCACAAAAAAAGGATGTGTGAGAGGAGGGTGTGTTTGTCTTGTACAGCGTGGTCCCTGAAATAGATATTCTGGTGTGGTAACCCTACAATAACACAAAGACAAGGATGTGTTTTTATTTGTGTGTGTGTGTGTGTGTGTGTGTGTGTGTGTGTGTGTGTGTGTGAAGGGCCAAACATTCAACGAAGTAAGGAGCATTTACTGGAACAAGCTGAACTCTGTTTTTTATTTGTGTGTGTGTGTGTGTGTGTGTGTGTGTGTGTGTGTGTGTGTGTGTGTGTGTGTGTGTGTGTGTGTGTGTGTGCACTGTTAAAGGGCTCAGCTTAGAGTGGCTGAGACAGATGGGTAAGGAAGTGCCCTGAAAAAGACAGTTCTTCCCCGCTCAAAAAAAAATGATGAATCTGGAAAAGATCAGATGAGGCAGTCAGCTTCCTCTCCGATGCCTCTTGTATTTGTGTGTGTGTTTCATGGACTCTAAAATGCAGGACTTGGACAATAACAGGATGAGTCCTTCCCAGAAAATGTCACAAATCATCTACTTATCAAGCACGGCGGCAGTCATCATAGATAGGCCATTGTTTCTTCACAGTGTGGATTTGTCTCTGCATGCAACTGCCCCAAATATCTTCAAATACATAGGATGTGTATGCAAGCAGTTATGTAATCCTTAGAATGAGAAAATGCATAAGAAATGTCGATACACACCCAGATGTAAGACATAGTTTTGTTGATCTTTCCAGGAACATGCTGTAATATTAACTTGAACTGAGGAAAGCCGAATTGACGTCACAGTTAGA